GGAAAATCTGGAAGAAATGGCAATTTTTCTGGATAGATACCACATACCAAAGTTAAATCAAGACCAGATAAACTATTTAAATAGACCAATAACCCCTAAGGAAATAGAAACGGTCATTAAAAGTCTCCCAACCAAAAAAAATCCCAGGACCAGATGGTTTCAGTGCAGAATTCTACCAGACTTTCAAAGAAGAACTAATTCCAATACTCTTCACATTGTTCCACACAATAGAAACAGAAGGAACATTACCAAACTTTTATGAGGCTACAATTACCTGATACCCAAACCATACAAAGATGCAACAAAGAAAGAGAATTACAGACCAATCTCCCTCATGAACATTGATGCAAAAATACTCAACAAAATATTGGCAAACCGAATCCAAGAACACAACAAAAAAATTATCCACCATGACGAAGTAAGTTTCATCCCAGGGATACAAGGATGGTTCAACATACGAAAATCTGTCAATGTAATACACCATATAAACAAACTGAAAGAAAAAAACCACATGATTACTTCATTAGATGCTGAAAAAGCCTTTGACAAAATCCAACACCCCTTCATGATAAAGGTCTTAGAGAGATCAGGAATACAAAGAACATTCCTAAACATAATAAAGGCAAGGGAGGGTGGGGGTGGGGTGGGGGTGGAGTATGAAGACAGGCAGCAATGGGTGCACAGGGAGTAGCTGGGAGACTGAGTGCCTGCTGAAGCACCTGGAACTTCACAGCTCAGGCTCAGCTCCCAGGGAAGCAGACACGCAGACAGCAGGGGGCGCCGCAGTACAGAGAGCCACTGGCTATGGCTGGTACAGCAGTCCCGTGTCCTTCCAGCACCTGGGACTGGGTCCACCTCTGGAAAGCCACTGAAGCACTTTATTTTCTTCTTTGTAAAGAAGAATAATATCCAAGGTCTCTCTGTGTAGCCCTGGCTGTCATGGACCTCATTTTGGTAGACCCAACTGGCCTTGAACTCACAGAGATCTGCCTGCCTCTGCCTCCTAAATGCTGGGATTAAGGTGTATGCCATCACACAGGGCCAGGCTCATTATTTTTTTAAAAAGATATTTACAAGTTCAACTTGAAGACTACAGAGGCAAGACAGGACTGGGTCCAGACTGACAGATAATAATTTGAGCCGGGCAGTGGTGGTGCACACCTTTGATCCCAGCACTCCGGAGGCAGAGCCAGGAGGATCTCTGTGAGTTCAAGGCCAGCCTGGTCTACAGAGCAAGATCCAGGACAGGCACCAAAGCTACACAGAGAAACCCTGTCTCCAAAAACCAAAAAAAAAAAAAAAAAAAAAAAAAAATTGAATGGGCCACAACAACCAGTGTGTCCCTGCTGAACTGAAACCCAAGGACAGTTGAGTGTTTATCATCTGCCATGTCCTCCCCCCAAAAAGGAAGGCAGGTTTATTGAGTACACTAAAGGGCAGTGGGTTGTGTAACAACATCTGCTTGCTGGGCCCTTGATGCTCATGTACCGAGGTGGTCAGATGCCAGGAGGGTGGGTGGGTCTGTTATTAGCCCAGTATTAGGTATTCCTTTTTTTTTTTATGGGAACAAGGCAAGAGTATGAGAATATTGCACCATTTTTTTTTGTGTCTCTTCAGATAAGATCTCTTGTGTGTGTGTGTGTGTGTGTGTGTGTGTGTGTGTGTGTGTGTGTTTCTTGCTTTTTTTTTTTTTTAACTTTCTCACTTTTATTTATGACAAATATTCCCTGATCTCTTCTGGTCAAAAGTTCTTTTGAGACAATGCCATCATCCTTAGTCAATCGGAGAATAGAATCATCTGATTGGCCCATCCTTCAAATGGCCCCACAGACAGCATAAGTTTTAAATTGGTCATTAAACTGGCCTGTGACCTTGTCAGCCTACACAGAGAAACACTGTCTCAACCCCCCCTCAAACAAAACAAAACATAACAAAAACAAAAAACAAAAACAAAAAAACAGTGACCTTGTCAGCCTCGGCCACATTCGTGGATGGATGCATGGTCCTTGTCACCAATGATGCGGTTGCTCGCGAGCATTTCCGAGGCACGCACAAGTCCATGAACTCGCCGGCCCTTCATGTCGAGGTCATGCCTGCTCTCTAGGCCAGTGGGAGTGCAGAAAGCTCTTGCTGGTTTGGAAACAGGATTTTACTATGTAGTCGTTGCTAGCTCACAGCTTGCTGTGTAGATCTGGCTGGCCTTGAACTCATAGAGATCCACTTGCCTCTGCTTCCCTGAATGCTGTGGTTAAAGGTATATGCCACCACATGTGGTGTTTGCTTATTTTTTTGACACAGGCTCTTATATATATAGCCCAGTATGGCTTAGAACTCGCTGTATAGTTGAACTTCTGATCCTTTGGCCTCCACATCAAGTGCAGGGATCACAGAACTTCCTCACAAGACTCCTTTTATACAGTACTGGGGATGGAACCCAGAGCTCCGTGTGTTTGACAAAAGTGTTCTCCCAATTGAGTCACATCTCTAGCCTTCTTTTTTTGTTTTTAATTTTGTGTGTATGTGTGTGTATACAGCAAGTGTGCAGGTGCACAAGTGTGGGCATGTGTGTGGAAGCCAGAGGACAACCTTGGGTTGGTCATCTTCAGAGATACCATCAACTTCATTTGAGACCAGATCTCCTTTTGGCTTAGAGATCACCATTTAGGCTAGACTGGCTCGACCAGTGAGCCCCAGGGAACTGCCTGTCTCCATAGCCCTCGCGCTAGGATTGAAAGAGCATGCCTTTGGTCTCAGCACTCGGAGGCAGAGGAAGTCAGATCTCTGAGTATGAGGTCAGTCTGGTCAGTGAGTTCCAGGATAGTCAGGACTAACACAGAGAAAACCTGTCTTAAAAAAAAAAAAAAAGAAAAGAAAAAAAAACAAAGAGAAAAGAAGGAAGGAAGGAAGAAAGAAAAAGAAAAGAAAGTTTGCCACCATGCCTGGTGGTATTGCTACATAGGTTCTGCAGATGAGATGAGAGTCCTCATGGTTACCTAGCAAGCATTTTTCCAATCTCACCACCTCCTCAGACCCCAATAAGGTTTTTTTGTTTCTTTGGTTTTGAGATAGTCTCACTATGTAACCATCACTGGCCTAGAACTTACTATAGGCCTACTATATAGACCAGGCTAGCCCACAGAGATCCGCCTGGCTCTGCCTCCCGAGTGCTGAGATTAAAGGCATGCGCCACCACCATGAGCAGCTCCTGATAGAGTTTTAATGTTTCCCAATGGGCATGATATGCTGATCAGGGTTGTCTTAGTTAGGGTTACATTTTGCTGTGATGAAACACCATGACTCCCCCGACCCCCTGCTCTTGGTGGTGGTGCACACCTTTAATTCCAGCACACAGGAGGCAGAGGCAGGTGGAGCTCTATGAGTCTGAGGCCAGCCTGGTCTACAGAGTGAGTTCCAGGACAGACAGGACTACACAGAGAAACCCTGTCTTGAAACAGAAACAAACAAAAAATGAAAAGAAAGAAAGAAAAGAAAAAAGAAACACCATGACCAAAGCAAGTTGGGGAGGGAAGAGTTTATTTGGCTTACACTTCCAGAGCACTGTCCATAATCAAAGGAAGTCAGGACAGGAACCTGGAGGCAGGAGCTGAGGCAGAGGCCATAGAGGGGGTGCTTAGTGTTTGCTTCTCCATTACCTGCTCAGCCTGCCTTTGTTGTTGTTGTTGTTATTTTGAGACAGGATTTCTCTGTGTAACCGAAATCCCAGAGATACACCTGCCTCTGTAAGAGCCAAAGTTACATTTTAAGTTTTAACTACTATGCTTAAGAGATCCATGAAACAAAAAAATGTCTCTGATCTGCAAGCCCCTTGCCTAAGGACAGATAGTTCCTGAAATGTTGGAGGCTGTTGTTTATGGGAGATAACAAGCCACATGTTTTCACTCCCCTAAACAAGCTTGTTTGACCCTTCTACACCGTATGTGTTTGATCACACGTGGGTGAGAGGTTCACAGGCAGGAGATATGTCAGGATGTATGCTTGCCCCTGATGGGACCTGATGGGAATTATGGGGTTTCCCTCTTAAGCAGCTGCAAATTGTGATTGTGGGCTATTTCCCAGGAACCTGGGTATGGACCTGGCCATAGTCCATTCACCAGTCCAGTATTTGATTAAAGCTTGCTTCAAATTTGGCTTTAAACTGTGGTAGTGGTCTTATTCTCTACTGGTGGAATTAACACCTTTGCCTCCCAGGTGCTGGGATTAAAGGCATGTGCCACCCTCTCCCGGCTAAGCTTGCATTCTTATAGAATACAGGACCACCAGCCCAGGGACGGCACTACTCACAATGGGCTGGGCCCTTCCCCTTTGATCACTAATTTAGAAAACGCCTTACAGTCGGTTCTTGTGGAGGCATTTCCTCAGTTGAGGCTTCCTCCTCTAATGTCTCTAGCTTGTGTCACAAGGCTTGAATAAGCAGATTTCACTTTTTGTAGTTGGATCAATCCAGTGCAGCTTGAGAAACTACATCCTTGGGCTAGGGGGGCTGCTTCTGTCACCCCCCACTTCCATTAACCACAGCCAGTAACCATGACAGAAGGAGTTCTTGTTTGACTATACCCTCCTTTTTAAAAGCCAACTGTCCTTGATCCCAATCACAGATCAGGCAGGGCCACCACAGACCTGGGTCTTCCAGGCCATGAGGCATGGGTGAGGGGGCAGACTGGCAGCAGCGGATCCAACAGGGGAAACCAGCGACATCCTGCACAAGACACTTCGGTGTGACAACCCCCTGGATGGTCTTGCAATATACTACTTTTCCCATACACCATGTGTGAGCTTTCAGGGTTTGGAATACTGTGGTTATTTATTTAGGCAAATTAGCCCAGCCCAGCTGGTATGGAAAGGAGAGATCCTGGAGTCTAAAGTTGGGGATGGACAGGGGTTGGGTCCACAGGATGGAAGTAGAACTGCTGGGCTGGGGCAGGGTCTTGATGTGAGGGTGGGGCCAGGAAGACCTCCAGGGGTCCACTGCATCTGGGCATCTAGGAGGCCAGGTAACCAGCGTCCACCAGGATGCCAGAGCCACTGGTAGAGGCACTGCTGTCGCTGAGCAGGAAGAGGATACTGTTGACAACGTCCTCCACCTCTGCAGGAGAGCAGAGCAGTCAGGGCTTCTGCTTGCCCAGCTGCTGGGAGCCAACACTGATTCCCTCTCCCACATCCCCAGCTGACCTGCGAACTTCCTCAGTGGGTGGCGCTCCTTGAGCTTCCTGGCAAACTCAGCATCTGCAGTGACTTTCTTGCCCATATCAGTCAGCACCACAGTAGGGTTTACCGAGTTTACCCGGATCTGGGGCCAGAAGCCACAGCTGGTGGTACAGCCAATGAACTAGCCCTAGCCACTCAGCTCAGGACTTGCCCAGGTCAAGCCTGATGAGCTTGCTTGCTCTGTCCAGTTGAACACTGGCCCCACTGCTCAGAGCATCCCCAAGCCTCACCCCACCCTCAGCCTCAACCCCCAGCCCTGCCCCAGGTACCCATCATCTGTCCCTCAGGTGTGGACCCATGCCCCTGTGCCTACCTTGTGTGGCCCCAGTTCCATGGCCATGGCTTTGGTCAGCATAGTCATTGCGCCCTTGGTGGAGCCTGTGGATGTGTGTGTCTGCTGAGGACAATTTAATTATCCAGTCCTCCTTCTGAGAGACCCACCCAGAACCTACTCCTGGTCCCCCCACAATGGAGGGTGCACTCACAGTAGTTGGTCAGGCCAGGGAAGGTGACATAGGCCACCATGCTGGAGACATTGACAATGGACCCTGCCACTCCACGGTCAATCATGCCCTTGGCTACCATCTGGAAGCCAAGAGTTAGGGATAGCTCACTGTGCCCTATGCCATTCCACGCTCCCCAGGGGTTCATCTCTGGGCCACAGCCCTCCTACCATCTCACCTGGGATACTTGCAACACAGAGCGAAGATTCACATTGAAGGACCTGGCAGGAGAGGAACAATGGCGCCCTGCACCGCCCATCTTCAGCAACCCTCCCCAGCCTGCCCCTCTCCCCAAGTGCCCACCTGTCAAAGGCCTCCTTGGTGGCCTCCAGGAAAGGCTGCACCAGGGCCACCGCTGCGTTGTTCACCAGCAGGTCCACGGGGCCAATACCGCCCAGGGCCTTCTCTGTGGCCTCCCAGTCACCCAGGTCCACGCACACAGGCTCTATCCCCGGACACTGTGGGAGACACCAGTTGGTGGACTGAGGCATTGTCCCAGCCAGCTTCTGATGGATCTCTGAGGGTGGGGAGCAGGCCCAGGAGAGGCAGGGCTGTGTGCCTCACCTCTTTGGTGAGGCTGACCAGGTCTGCGTTGTTAAGTGTCACGGCAACCACTTTGGCTCCTGAGGCATGCAGGGCCTTCACAGTGCCCCGTCCAATCCCTGTAAGGCGGGAGAGTGGTGGCATAAGGGTCCTGTAGGCCTGGTCACAGCTGGGGTCTGGGTCCCAGGTGGGAGTAAAGGCTGTTGCCCCCATATCCCTGCAGCCAGCAGTGAGAAGGTACTCTCCAGAAGGTTATAAACCAGGATTAGATGGGACTATCCCTGGGTAGAGGTCAGACTGACTAGTATCAAACCCAAGGAGGCACCAGAGGGCAGCACCCTCCTGATGGGGTCCCAGAGAAGGGTACCACTGGTGCCCATCTGCCCAGCCTGGATCTAGGAGCTGTCTTGGAGCCAAGCTAAACTTGTCCTTCAGGGTGTGGCACTGACTGTGGTGGCGAGGGAGAGACTGGCATTCTGTCCTGGTGGGTGGTGGGTCTCCAGCCAGGTGACAGATAAGTCCTGGGTGAAGTCAGATTCTGTAGGACTGAGCAGTGACAAGGTCATCTGGGGCCCCTGTGTGGTGTTAAGACTGGCCCCTTTTCTGTCCCACTCACTCACCTCTCCCTGCCCCCGTCACCAGGGCCCTCAGACCACGGAAATTCAGCTTCATGCTGCCGACACCAATTGTCCTCCTGTAGCAAGAGAAGGGGCCGAGGTTGTCAAGGTTGAACTGGCAAGTGGGACAGGGTTGAGGCTAGGGACACGTGACCTGTTCCCTGTGGGACTTGAAGAAGCAATAAAAGGTGTGCACACATGTGTAGAAGCCCTGACAGAGCAGTGGAGAAGAGTCCATACTAGCTCGAGCATGCGCGCGCATGCATGCATGCACGCGCACGCACACACACACACACACACACACACACACACACACACACACACACGTCACTGTGGGGGGCCTGACACAGCAGTGTAGTGGGAGAGGAGGTGGCAGCCTACGAACAGAATTTGCTTTCTCAGCATTCCAGTACCGAGTCTTGAACCCAGGGCCTCAGAGCATGATGCGCCACTGAGTCACACCCTTTGCCTAGGGAAGTGAAAATTCTGGGTTTGGGATTTGCCTTGTCTGGACAGAAGCATCAGCTTGTAACTTTTAATTTTATTATTATAAATGAGGGTAGTGACCTGACCTAGCTGGAGCAAGTGACTGAGATGCCTACTTGGAGCAAGACCCTGGGCACTGAACCCAAATGCCCAGGGACCCAAGGACCCACTGTGCCTGCAGTCTGTCCAGTGAGTACGATGGCATCCTCCTTACCTGTCCCTCCCAGGTGCCCCTCACCTGCTGCCTCTACCAGCCTGGGACTCTGCCCTTGGTGACTGCACTGAGGTACCTTCTGTCCTCTGAGGCAGGACTCTTGTAAACCTAAGCATGGATTCTTGGGTTTCCTGCCCCAGTAGTGACCCCTGAGTCCCTCCATGGTCTCTGCTTCTCAGAGTAGAGAGGTGGCTCTTTCAGGGGCAGTTTGAAGAAACAATCAGAGGATTTCCTGTTCAATTCCACCTCTGGCAATTTGTCTGAGGGTGTGCGGAGGTTCTCCTATCTTGTGTGCCAGGTTCATGGAACAAATACGTCTGTCCAGAAAGTCATGGCAGGTCACATGCTATCTGTACCAGGCAGGAGGCTCAGGCCCACAGACCACCCCAGGGCCAGCCCCAGTGAACAGGTGTGCTCAGACTCTTGCCTGCTGCCTTTCCCTTCTTCCTCAATCCAGGCTTGGCAGCAAGACTGTGTTACTCTCTGAAAGATGGCAGCTGAATTTCAGGTGCTCTACGTGCCCTGATACCTAGGAGATCCCTGGCATGATTTATGTGTGACTCCCTCAGAGAAGAAGCCTCAGGAAGCCTCACTAGTGTGGGGACAGCAGTAGTACCCTTCCACCAAGTATTCCTCCACACTCCTGTTCTGTGAGTGTCCTGGGGCTCAGAGGGACAACAGACACTTTGAGAGACTGGGGGTCAGTGCCATACCAGAGTCTGTCCCATGACACACATAGGTTGACACCTAATGATTTGCTGCTGTCTCGAAGAATTTCCTCATAGCCTTCAGGGACAGACCATACCTGCTTACTGTGTCCTTGATCCCAGCCTGAGCAAGCCACCTGAGTCCTACAGCCAACCTCCAGGTGGCACTGAACGCAGAAGTCTGGCCAGGTTCACCCAGTAAGATCAAAGGCCTTCCCCTTCTATGATGAAAGCAGTTGATTGTGACCAACTTTCCATCTGGTAGCTGCTGGATCTCCTGGGGATATGGTGGCCTGTCAGGGATTTGTTGTTGGTTTCCACGGCTGGTCAGTTGGGCGTCGGGCAGTGATTTATCAAGAAGGACCCAGTGAATGTGAGTCCATGCCTCTAAGACTGTCTCTACAGCCATTGCCTGAGGTGTAGAGAATGGCTGATGCCACAGTGTAGATAAAATTCTAGACCATCTTATTAAATTAGAAACACAGAGCCAAATGCAGAGTTAAAAGCCCAGAGATCAGAGCAGTAGCCAAGAGCTAAGACCACCTTATCTTACCACTCACTGCTGTCCTTCCCCTGAGAGAGACCTTATTCCTGTGTCCTGTCTTTTATTTGCCTTTCTGTTCTGCCTTCTCATTGGCTCTAAACCCAACCATATGATTTCCTCAACACTGCCTGTCTATACAGACCTCCATGTCTCTATGGTTGGTACTGGGAATAAAGTTCAGGTCACCTTGCTTTGGATGTGTCCTTGACCACAGAGACTCTGCCTGCCATGTGATGGGTTTAAGGGTGTGTGCTACCACTGCCTGACTCCCGCTTAGGGCTCACTGTGACTTCTGATCTCCAGGCAACTTTATTAACATACAAATAAAATCACATTTCAGCACAAATAAAATATCACCATATTTCCCTCTTCTATTCTAATAAAAAGAAAAAAAAGGAAAAAAGTTATAACTAATATAAGAAAAACTCTATACAATAAGTACAATAACTATATACAATATATACAAGCAATAAACACTTAAACAATGTCTAGTCCATCTGCACTTGATAAACTCAGAGAAAATAATTCCATTATCTATCTTATTTTGGTAAGTCCAAAATGTACCTGATTCACTTTCTATTCTAACTTATATTACTAACAGAACTATCTTAAAATGTCTTTCAAATTTATATACTTACACCACTTTAGTGAGTTTCTTTTCTAAAATTCTTTTTTTTTTTTTTTGGTTTTTCGAGACAGGGTTTCTCTGTGTAGCTTTGCGCCTCTCCTGGAACTCACTTGGTAGCCCAGGCTGGCCTCGAACTCACAGAGATCCGCCTGGCTCTGCCTCCCGAGTGCTGGGATTAAAGGCGTGCGCCACCACCGCCTGGCCCTCTTTTCTAAAATTCTTAACAAGGAAAACTAAATCATGTGGTTGGGTTTAGAGCCAATGAGAAGGCAGAACAGAAAGGCAAATGTAGATGTAACCAACCGTCTTATTAAATAAGAAACACAGAGCCGATTCAGAGAAGAAAGCCAGGAGGTCAGAGCTAAGGGCCTTACCCTTCCTGCTTCAGCGATCCTCTTCAGCCAAGAGAGCTCTCCGAAAAAAGGACCTACTTCCTGTGTGTTTGTCTTTATATAGTCTTTCTGTTCTGCCTTCTCATTGGTTGTAAACCCAAACACATGACTGCCTCGTCACTGCCTGTCTGTAGAGACTTCCAGGTCTTCTATGGTTGGTATTGAGATTAAAGGCGTGTGTCTCCAATGCTGGCTGTATCCTTGAACACACAGAGATCTACCTAGCTCTGTCTACCAAGTGCTGGGATTAAAGGCGTGTGCCACCACCGCCCAGCTTTTGCTATGGCTCTAATAGCTCTGACTCCTGGGCAACTTTATTTATTAACATACAATTAAAATCACATTTCAGTACAAATAAAATACCACCATAGGTAAATAAAAGATAGGACACAGGAATAAGGTCTCTCTCAGGGGAAGGACAGCAGTGAGTGGTAAGATAAGGTGGTCTTAGCTCTTGGCTACTGCTCTGATCTCTGGGCTTTTAACTCGGCGTTTGGCTCTGTGTTTCTAATTTAATGAGACCATCTAGAATTTCATCTACACCACAGGAGGGGAGCGTCAGCTCCTGGGTTTTGCGACTGTAGTCCTCTGTTTACCTTGCTCTTTGGGGACCATTTCTCCAGGGTGAGAATATCTTCGCCCTCCATAGCTCTTGCCTTACCTCCTGGCACCTGTGTGGTCTGAAGATTTCTCAACCCAGAGTCACATGCTGAGCCCTAACTCCAGCATTATGTGAGGAACTGTTGTAAAACAGTTTCCTTCAGTATTAAACACTCCATCCTGCAGGGAAGCTCCTTAAGCAGGAAGGCAAACAACTTAGCTTCAGGAAGTCCCTGAAACTGACCAGTTTCACTAGGTTCCTCCCTGTCAAAGTAACCGAAAAAAGCTGAGAGTCACTCTCAGCCAAGTCAAGTTACAGAGAAGACTCTGAAGGCAGACAAGCTGTCTGGAAAAAGCAAAAAAAAAAAAATAAGCTGAGTTGTCTGGAAGAGGTTTAGACCAATGGAGTTACTTGGAGAGGACACTCTCCAACCCGATGAGCTGCCTGTAGGCTGTGCAGTGTGCTCCAGGTTCCCAGTTTTTGCGAACTGTCACCAGAGCTGAGCTGGGTGAATAGGCTTTGGTCCTTGGGTCATTGCTGCTCCTGTAAGTATGCCCTCACCCATATTCTTGTAAGAAACCCCAATAAAACTCTTGGCTCATTAAGCTGGGCGTTGGTGTTATCTATGTGTTGGTCTTTGTGGGCTTCCTGTCTTCAGTGAATGGATATGTGTGTTGTGTCTCCCCAGGAAAAATCTTGTTGCACAACAGGAGGAAAAGCCTTTGGGAGGAGACTAGGGAACACTGGTGCAGAAAGACAACTGACCTTGACCTCTGGCCTCTACTCACAAGTGCACATGTGCATCTGCAGGAAATACGCTCCCACCTGAAGAAGACCCCCAGCCCTGAACAGTGGGGGCTTCCTCCCACCTCCAGATTAGGCACAAACCACCCCCAAACACCTGTTTTCACAGACAGATCCTTTATTATGTGGGGGAAAGAAAAGTCGAAGTGGCTGCTTTCTGACTCAGGCAGAAAACAGCAGCAAATGACCTTGCAGGTATCATTTTTAAGAGGAGGAAAGGGGAGGTGTCAGAGACCAAACATGGACCATGGAAAAGTACTAGCTAAGCCAGAGAACAAACCCCTGCCCTAAACCGGATGCCCCCAAAGATAAAGAACAGGTCAGGCAGGTCAGGTAGCATAGCAACAGAACAATGGGCCCTGACCAGTGACCTTACCACCTAGCAGCCTCACGACTTGCACGTAGCCCTTCACCTGCACGTCCCCCTTCACCTGCACGTACAGCACGTCGTGCACCCCTTCCCTCCTCCCCTCCCCCTCCCATACTATATAAGCCTTGCTGAGGAGAATAAAATTTGCAGCTTGATCAGAACACACTGTCTTGCTGTCTTCTCTCGTGTCTCCCCTGTCCCTCTCATTCTCTCCCACAGGTGGGTCGCCCCCGTTGATACCCCGCTGGCCGGGGCAACTGGCGCCCAATGTGGTGGCTCGACCCTCGCCTCGTTGGGAGTTGAACGTCCTTCTCCAGGAAAGCCCAGACGTCTGGTGGAGATTTTTGGTGATCGTCCGTTGAGACCGCCCGACTCGACGCCCTTTCTTGACGATCAGGAGGAGAGCGGGAAGGACGAGGTTAGTCTAAATTTAGGCTTAACC